TCTTTCATTGGCATTATAAGTCAGTTATTCTCACTTCCTTACAAACATATTTTTAAATTTTTTGTTTGAATAATTTCAAAATAAAAATACAAAAAATACTTTCAAAATATGAAACAAAATTTTAAAATACAATCCAAATCGATAGGATTTTGTATTTCGAAATTTTTATTTCAGTATCGAAATTCGAGGGGTGGAGATCGGTGAAAGAAAGAATAAAGGGCACTCAAATTAACCTATACATAGGAGCCCCCAATGTTTTAAAACGGCCCTGGCTGCGTGCACTCGTTTTCCCACAACAGACTTTCGCGCGCGCGAGTGCTCACACCGGGAGAGGTGAATCGTAGCATGAACTGCAGTCCCTCTTATCGGGTGGTCCTACAATCGAGTCCCGACGGTGGCAGCACTTTCGACACTATACTTGTCAGCTAGGTTGAATTCAGTCGCTGACTGGAGGTATATCCTGGGTCGACAGCTCTGATCGGTAGTTTTCCGTGGTTTCGTCGATCAATACCAAACGAATGCCGGAGTATTATCTTAACAAACATGCCACGGATCGCAAGAGATATTTTCTTCCCCTTCCTTCCCCTATCGTAATCCCTTACTTACATAGACATACACTTACATGCAGTGCACGGCGGGAGATACCTGGTGGGGGAAACCCCGATAGCTATCCCGGTAGGTCGGCACTGGATCTCGCCATCCAGCGGGGGAAAACCACCGGCACCGAATTACTAACAATCAATCAATCACGCGAATGTTCACAAACACGAGGTATTTCAAAGTATTTACAAGATTTGAGGATAATTAAGAATTTCGTAAATGCTCTAAGTTATTTATTTCTCTCATTCCAACTCTACTCCTTTAAATCATCTACCTTCACGTCTTTCCTTGAGGTCCATCAACAATGCTACCTTATCTCTTTCCGTCCCCTCTGACAACTCAGCCGCCTTCGAGGGCGTTCCTCCCATAGTGTTGCAGCCCTCTCTCCTGCGACCGTCGCTGCCATGCGTCTGCGTTTTACAGTACTCTCGCCGCCCGTTCGGACTCCCTTTCTGCTCAGGCCCCTGTGCCGATTTCCTGTATTTTGTAACTCATAATGTATTTTGAATTCCTAACACAATATTGATTGGTTCGTTCTGATACAATCAGGTTGAAGTCTTAAAGCGAACGTACATAACAAACAAATCAAACACAAAAGTTTTATTCTCCAAAGCTGTAGTGGCATTTACTCAAATATTGCATTATCTCTTTCAGTTTACACACAGCTACTTTGTTTTGTATAACATTTTCATTTGTTATACAAATTACTTATTATTTACATTCTGGATATTTAATTTATTTTTACCACCAATAGCCAACTTTAGCAGTTTTACCTAGTAAACTCTACCTCAGCTCTCCAGTTATACTCATATGCAATAACAGTAGATCAAAAGATCGATTGAAAATTATCAGAATTTAAACTTCTTTTATAATTTTCATCATTAAACGTAAGTGTTCACGGAATTTTCTGTTGCGTAAAAATACAACTTCTAAGTACACAAGGCAAAATTATGTTAAAAATTTGCGAGTTATTAATGAAAATAACTCGCGTTGTAGAGGATAATTCTTTATTAATTATCTTTTACGACCATCTTTCTTCCCAATAAACACTCCAGGTTTACATTGAGATGTATGCAACATATAAACCTACTAATTTAAACATTGATGGCAAACAAAAAGGGAAACTAAACAATTATAATAAAACATAAGGAAAAAAACCGTACAATCGTATCACGCAGCAGACTTACCACTCACAAAGATTTACAAAAGAATTTTATTCAGCTAATATCAATATGGAAAATTTGAAAAACAGTCCTTGGAATAAAATTGCTAAAAATATGATTTAAAATATTTGGCAACACCATAAGGCTTTGGAACATCTAAAAATCCCGTAACTAAAGAAGAACCGAACTTCTACAGAAAGGCCATGAAAAAATACATTAAGAAAAATACAATCGATTTATTGAGAGACCAAATACTAAAAGATATTCTCTTTATCAATTCACAAATACAGTTTTAGGAAAAAAATCACTTTTCTCTCACTACTGACAGCTAAGGGAAAAATATTCGCCTAAAAAGAAAGACAAAGTTCTAGCAACCAACTTGGAAAGCACATTCACAGCAATTGCCTTTTAATACGTATGATGTCATATTAAAATTACAATACACATCGTTTCTCGTAGACATTAATCCATTTCTCGTTACAGAATCTAAGAAATAATTAAAATAATGCCAAATAAAGAATATTATCCACCAATTCCATTATACTATTTCAAACAACGTGTACAACTTCATTGTAATACACTTTACAATCCCCAGTCGCGGGAACACACAATAACACATCCAATACTAAAACAGAACAAAAGTGAATCACGTGCAGACAATTACAGACCTATCAATCCTTTACCCATCACGTCAAAATTTTTAGAAAAATTAATTATCATCAGACTAAAAAGCACATAAATAAAACGAACTCAGTTCCACCTCATCAACAAGTTTCATTCCCCATCAGTCAACAACACCAATTATTGAGACTAACAGAACATATTTACTCTGCCTTCCAAAAGCGACACCACACTACCACTCTCGATGTATTTACAAGCATTCGGTGGCACCAAATAGCTTTGTACTAAGCTATGGCACCAAATAGCTTTATACTAAAAATCAGTTTTTGGAGTAACAATTAACGCTCGAATTGAACACATTTGAGTTCAAATAAATAAGTATTCTAAACGAATTTATTAGTGATGTCATGCGTCCCGTAAGCGTCGTGAATGATATGCCGTGGAAGGAGAAGATGAGATCGTCTGACATTGGAACGTGAGATACTGCGCTGACCCACACGTCGGTTTGTTTCACCACGTTTCCTCCAGCAGAGCTCATCTAAGCGTGAAGGAGATCTAAATGCGCGACGGCTTCTCCGAAAAGTGTGATAGTGTAGTGAATGTAAGTGTAAGTATGTGTCAAAACTGGAGAACAATTCTAGCGTCCGATTGCCCTGTAGTTTTCCGTTGTTTCTCCAGTCAACCCGAAGCGAATGCGGGAGCAATACCCTAACAAACGGGCCACGGAACTTTCGTGTTCCTTGTCCTCTTCTTACCCTTTACCTACACACCTACAGTAACATGACCTACACTACCACATATTTCGGGAGACCGGTCCGGAGCTGAGAGTTAATTCCAGCTGGGACAGTGCTCCGCCGGTAGGAGATACCTTGTAGTGGGAATTCCATTTAGCCAACGGTAGATCGGAGCTGGAACTCGGCATTCAGCGGGGGAAAATCACCGCCACCTCCCGAGGAAAGCATATGCACTTCACTTACGGGACCAATAACCTTTGCAGTTGACGCGTCCGGAATCAGTATTCAATGAATCGAAGAGTCACAGAGGATGGGTGAAGGAAGGCAAGGGAATGTGGGAGCGCGTTCGATTGTCGTCTGTCAGGGTACTGCTCCGGCACTCGTCTGGTATTATCGGAGAAAGCACGGAAAACTACCAATCAGAGCGTCCTTCCCCCAGGCGGTTGCCTCGAGGTAGCAGCGGTGGGCATTGCTGGTGAGCGCTTGTGGTGGAGGGGGGGAGGAGTCGCCAAGGGAAAGCTGCAGCGGCGTGCGCGGTGGCGAGAGACGCTGCGAGGCGCGAGCGCGACGTGTGCCGATGTGGTTGAGACGCGGTCGTATTGGCGCACTAAGAGCGGACTTCCGCCGCTAAGAGGATTACGCCCCACCCACTCCCCATTCTCCCCCCTCCACGCTCCTCTCTTACTTGCCAGCGGCGTTCCCTGCCGCCGCCCGCCGCCGCCTCCCTGTCCACCACCCAGCTGCCCCCGCGCCTCCGCCATCCCACGACGCTCCCCGCTGCCCGGCGTTGCCGCCACCCGGCCGCCAGCCGCCCCCGCCGTTCCCCTGGTCACCATTACCTTGCTGCCTCCCGCCTCTGCCGCCGCCCTCTCTACACCCTGTCACCATCCTCCGCTGTCCCTGTCACCACCCCCGTTACAGCGCCTCGCCACCGCCACCACCAACCATCGACCTCTCCCGACGCTCCCCGCCGCTGCCATGTCGCGCCGACCTCCCACCTCACCACCCCTATCATCATTCCCCGTCCTACGCCCCCCGCCGCCCGCTCTCACATGCTCGCCGCCGCCTGTCACACCTCCCACAGCCGCTCATACTGCCACCGCCTCCCCGGCGCTGCCGCCACCCGCCTTCGCTGCCGCAAGCCGCGCATGTTACCCGCCGCCCCTGCTCCATCCCCACTGCCTCCGCCACTGCCACGCCCCTCCACCCCCTTGTTCATCATCCTCACCACCCCGCCAACCCGCCACCGACCCTCTGGAACCCGCGGCTTCCCCGGCCTCCACCCCGCCCCCTGTCACCACCCCTCAGCCCCGCCTACGCCCACTCCCACCACCCGTCACCCCTACCAACACCCCTGGCAGCCCGCTCTCTCCACCCCCACAGCCGCGATCGCCACCACGGTCATGCACCGCCACCGCCAACCGCCACCACGTCCACCGACATGCGCCGCGCCACCGCCGCCGCCCGCCACCGCCACGCCACCACAGCCGCCCGTCGATCGCGCCAGTCACCTTGCCCCGCCCACGCCTCGGAGCGGGCGCTGGAGCGCTCCTGGAATTATTCATTTCACTTTGCGCGAGGGCGTTCGCCGGCGCTCTCCTCGCCGTCTCGTGCTTCCCGGAATTCTTCGCGCCGCCACTTCGCTCATCCGACGAGCCGTTGCGCCCTGCACAATTATATTTCCCAGGCTGAGAGGGAAGCATTGACTTGTGTCAACGAATTGTTCATGATTTACGCACAAAAGAAGCGAGATCCATAATAACCACTTTGTAATCGCAGAATGTTTCTATAATGCTCTTGAAAAGGTCGCCATAAACGTTATTTAGTACATTGTGATTCTGTGTCTTTTTTTCTCTTGCTCTGTATCATCATTTGGAATCTGTTAGTTAAGATTGCGAATCAGCGCAGTGGGCGGTGCTAGTTTCTGGTGCCCGAGGTGCCTGAGGTGATCGAAGGTACTCAATGTTTCAAAAGTCTACAATAATTAGAAAAGGATAAAATGGACAATACATGATTTAGATCGTATAATAGGTAAGATAAATAGTTGAATAAAAATATACAATATCTGAAATGACATACAAAGACAATTCGAGCGATATAGTGCTTCTGTAATTGGGTCAGTGGAAAAGTATAACATATTTTACTTATTGTTTATTAGTCGGCCGCAGTACGTGACTGATCGTTAAAAAGTTAACAATTAATATTATTTACAGAAAACACTTTTAATGATTAACTTATATCAATATAAAAATAGTTTTAAACCTTAGAAATGTACCTTCAACACCTTGATCAAATCTCACTGGAAATGTGACGTAAGCTCCCATAACCAACATTCCAGTAACATTGCTGTGACAAACATTCCTTTTTTTACAAAATATCCTTGTCATATTTATACTCTAAATTTTTGTGAAATATCCTGCAAAAACCAACTCACCCGACGCCGACGTGCCCGAATGCAAAGGAAATATTTGCGGAGACCGATCTTCTTTTTTGACGAACGCGCCTCCCGTAAACAGCCGCCTGTCGAGTTCGTTTTTCAAAGCCAACGATTGATCGAAGTAGCGCGGCCGCGCAGGCAGTTGTCTCTCGATGGGTGGGCGTGGCGCGCTAAAATGAAAACAAATGACATGCATTTAGTCTTTACAATTTTGTTTTATTTTAATCCTAGAACTCCGAAAGGGGAGTCGTTGAACTCACATCTATTGATTTTGCTCATTAATGTCTCGAAATATTTTCGTAGAATATTATTCATTTTCAGTTAGTGTCAACAGGGCTTTGTTTGACATTATTCTATTTTACTGTTAATTGTAAGTTATTTCATAGCCATATAAAAATGGAAATATTGCTTTGGGTTCACCCTCCCCTCCCCACTTCGGAGTCCACGGTATTAAATAATACGGATTTTAACGAAATGTATTTTATTCTTTTCTTTTTACAACAATTAATTTTATATAGAAATTTAAAATTAATGAATAGAAATTAATTTTATGTTCTGACAAAAGCTAAACATCCATTTGTGTACGTCATTTTTTCTTTTTTTCGATTTTGACTAGTAAGTCATTTTTTACCGTTTCCTATAATTTTTAATGCATTCTTTAGCTGATATAGTCGATTTTAATATAGTTTTAATGGTACGTGCTTCAAATAATATTTACAAAATGCAAAAAATTTTACGTTATTTGTCTCTGATTTTAAGGCATTTAAAAATAACTTGATATTTTATTGATCAAGGAACGTTTGTGATGTTTTAGGTCACGAAAATACGCCCCCTAGTTGTGTCTATAGGAGTCCCCGATGCCAAATTTTATTATGAAGTCTTACGTCAGGTACATAAATGGCCTGTCACAGGAAATTGTTCATTATATAGATAATATTCTATGCAGGAACATCAAGAATATGACAGTCTGCCTACTTCTCCCAAAGGGAACCTCCAAAGGGAACCTCCAAAACAAAAATCAAAAAATAAAAGTACAACCATCTGAGCGAACTGAAGCGATTGTTTATAGTGCAATAAACAAGTTTGTGATAGGCATTCAGAAAAAAAATAGTGTGTCCAATACAATGAATCACTTTTGTCTATTACATTCTAAATATCTCAGTAAGATAATTCATCTTAAATGTTCTGGAAAATATTTGTTACGGTTTTGCATTATTGCAAATGACATTATTAAAATTACTAGCTTCAATATAGTCAGGGTCTGACTTTTCGAACAGATGACTGTGGTTGAGGTTGAAGTGGCCAATGCCTACTATTTCGGAACTTCGACATCCAGAGAAGGGAGAACAGACATTAGATAGGTATTTGTGTTCTTTATGTCCAGTAGTTCCAGCCGCGCAGAATTTACGTGTTGCTGTACTGTATTTGGTAATTAAGAGCTGTAATTATCACCGGCATTGCTTTGAAGGTGGTTTGATATTTTAAATGTTTACAATAACTTTAAAGAATAGTGTGAATATGTTTCACTGATATTCTAATCATTTTTGTTATCAAATGGTATATTTCTATCTATGAGTAAAATGAAACTTGCCCCCCTAAAGTTTCTCGATTAAAATGGAGCATAAAAGGGCCTCGAAGATATTAACAGGAAGATCTGATTTCTCATGATCGACCGTTATGAAATTTCTTAGAGCAGTCTATTAAATTCCCTGCTTTATCCAAAACGTCTTGGTCGCAATACGATTGTAACCTGACTAGATTTTTAAGGCAAAGTGAAATTCACAGCAGTGGATGAAATTATAAATGGAAAACTTATTTTACATTTTCTGTGAAACATTACTATTGAAACCCATTAACAACAAATTTGACCATCACGAAACACGAAACTACCCAAGGAAAAACACAAGCTGCAACAGCGAACATGTGCAAATGTGATCTGGAGCTTGTTTCGTGTTTTCAGCGGCTTTCAACAACCCTGTGCGTTCAGACCGTAGCGTAATCATCCTCGTTAATTACAAATCGAAAGTCGTCTGACCTTTTCGTTTCCATTCGAAACGTTGTCGTCGTTTACATTTGGATAAATAAAATACTTGTATGGAAGATCCGTTCGGAACATTCGTTTGTTTCTGCCTGTCCCTTTTACTCTACTTACATTACTTACCCTAAATAAACTTTGTAATTTTAACTTATTAAAATACTTTTATGAAATATGTCTGTAAGTAATATATTTTTGTTCGACATTTCTAACTCAGGAATCTTAAAATCTTCAACATCAGGTTTCTTCAGAGCAGTTGCTTAGTAAAATTTGCGTATGAGTATAGAGGTAAAAATTGTTCAACTCAAGTACGTCAATGAATTTAATATCAGATTTTTATTGGTAAAACAAGTTGCTTCTTTTTTAATCCGTCACTTTTTTGTGCTGTACCTCTTTTTAACAATTTCCAAAGCAATCCATTATCAAATAGGATTCAAAATATATTTTTCGAAACATTGTGCATTTTTAAAAAATCATTAAAAATGTATTTCCGTTTCGGTTTTAGTGCTACAGCGTAAATTCAGTATCAGAGTGGGTTTTATGTGTACTAACGTGGTTTTCATTTAATGAGCATTCAAGCGTATGCGTAATCTCTCCCCACTGTCTAAAACATCACTGATTCTATTTTTTCCCCTTGGCTGTATAGTACTTCATTACTACTGATACTTGACACCGTGATATGAAAAAAATGAATATAACTCTTTTCTAGAGCTTCAAAAAGAAATTGCTACGAACAGTATGAATAAAGAACGTATGTAATTGCTTATGTCTTGAGTAATTTCTCCATTTCTGAGGAACTGTTCCGCCCAGGAATTTTTATTATTTGATTAGTGATTCCGGGGTCAACTCCTAAAAATCTTTGGTTCCGTTAGTGTAGTGAATGTTTTTTTTTCGGGTGAGTCCAAGTATGGGATGAGGATACGACATGGAAGAGGCAGAAAAATCGCGCGGGTTCGTGGCCCGTATGCTAGGGTACAGCTGCGCCATTTGTCTAGTATTGATCGGATAAATAATGGAAAACTACCACTCAGAGCATCCTGTCGCGAGAACTCTCCTCCAGACAGCCGCTGAATTAACCCTAGCTATCTAGGTAGTGTCGAAAATTCTACCGCTGTTGGGAGTGTAACTCTAGGACATCTCGGTCAGAGGCATTCCAGTGACATCAGTTGATGCACGACTCACCTCTTGCGGTTCCGCCCAATTGTTTATTTTTAAAAAGATAAATTAGAGAATTTGCTCCAAGCGCAATGCAATTTTCACGTGTGAACGAGAGAGAATTTTTATCTTTTACCATATTTCTGATGACATATTACTGTTTCTGTAGCCTTTTAATATATCAGGAAAAAACCTAATGTTCGGAGCAACCACAATTGAATGATGGGAGACGTCCTTCGAATTAGTCAACAGAAGGTGAATAAGGCAAAAAGAGTTGCTGAAGAAGGTATGTATTAGAAAACTTTTTATCATTTCCACATGGAAAATGTTCAAGCGATGGTGAACCATTTCCTTGGCGAGTTCAATAATATCAGAGATGGGGCTATATAAAAACAAAATTCAATGAGAATATTTTTGTATTACTTCAAGAAATACAAAAGCTCGAAGCAGAATGCACGATAATCTTTTATTATTGAGTGTCCAAAAATGTTTTAAAAAATTGGAAGTCACGTACATCTACTCAAATCAACGAAAAGAATCTGTAAATACCAAAATAGATTGTACGAAGACCATTAACTTAAATGATGTATTAAAATATAGTTTGAAGAGTATAAAAACGTACTACATAAAAGTTTCGTAAAAAAATTGAATATATTTTTCAGAAAATATTTGTGAGAAAATATTTTGCTGAAAATATATAGTTTCTGAATATACGGCAATTTGAACTTCTTTTCAGAACAGTTTCGAGTTTTCATGACATTTTATGGCATCATTTACAGCGCTGTAAATCACAAATGCAATAGTTAACACAACTTGTCAATAATGTAAATACTAACAACATGAGAGATATCAAACAAATTACATTAGTATCGTTTTTGAAAAAAATGAATGTATCAAATAGGTTCCAATGATTCAAATGCTCTAGGGATTCTTGTAAAATCTCCCCTAAAATTTAATGAATGTCTTTAAAAAGCAGAGCTTTGAGTCGGGTCAGATTGACCTGGGAAAAACGTGCAGGAGTAGTTTACAGACGTATAGACAGACAGATGGACGGACGATTAATAAAACCATTTTTTTGTATCAATAGACACCAAAATGTGTGTTTCCTTCGCAATTAATTTTTCATGGACAACTGTGCCTGCACATTATCTTGCGATTGTCGAGACCATTTGGCAATCGCTCGAGACGCGGCTTATGGAGCAGACTGCGGCGGCCGTCGATGGCGCAGTGCAGGCAGCCTCTGGGGATCATTTCTGCAGCAATTGATGAAGTGGCGAGTTCGCCGTGCGGCAGTGCAGTCCTCTAAGCTCATTACAGCCAGCAAAGGTCGGATTCGAACGGTGAATAGGACGTCGGTGGGGAATATCGATAACTGTTTTAGACTTAAACTTACATCGAGTGGCTCTTATACTCTTCCAGCCGTCACACGATATTGAAGCGTATGTGCGGCAGGTGACGATATATATTAGACGAGCATGCTTGGGTTTGCAATAGTTATCACAGTGGATTTCAGTCAATGTCTTCTTGAATCCATGTCTCCCAGGATCTTTCTGTCCTCTTTTTACGTCTCTCTAAATCTTTCTACTCAACAATCTGAATCTTCCTGTTTCAAAGTCTGAATCTGTCCTCTCGTCTGCGTCTCACAATATTTATCATAGCTCCTATTTCGCGGTCTTAACATTCGCTTTTTTTAACGTTCTCCGAGAACCTTCTACGAAACTCATAGGAATTCTGGACAACTGTCTCCGCCTGTCTCTCCGTCCGCCTGTCTCTCCGTCCGCCTGTCTCTCCGTCCGCCTGTCTCTCTGTCCGCCTGTCTCTCTGTCCGCCTGTCTCTCTGTCCGCCTGTCTCTCTGTGCACCTGTCTCTCTGTCCGCCTGTCTCACTCTCTCTCTCTCTCTTGTCCTGAAAACAAGAGTATTACATTGGATTTTGATTACGCTTTTGTTGGTTTGTGCGCAGTAGAGGAACGGGAGAGACAGAGTTGTACACTTCCTCACGGCACATTGCCTTGAAATACAGAGCCCAGGGTTCTGGCTTCTCTCAACTACTGTTCACGTGCTTTTTCTTTTCTCTACCTTCGTTGAGTGTGGGTGACGTTGTCCTTGTTTCTTGGGAGTGGGTGTGATTGGTTGGTGGGCGCGCGCGGGCAGTTGTACGATACGGACTCAGCAAAAGACTCGAGGCTGACGGCGGGAGCGCTTTGCCCCCTAGGAGTTTCTTAGGTGGCGCGATGCGCAACCATTTTGAGAGCGGCGGTGCTACGGCTTTTGTGCGGTTCAATGTGTTTACGATTAGTTAGGTAATGCAGTATTAAGAATTCACGAAACTTGGATTATGAATTAGAATGAGAGTTAAAGTACATGACGTAATCCAGAACCTTTTGGTGGCTCGTTGGATAGGGTACTCCACGCCACAACCCCGGGTTCGATTCCCGGTCAGGGTAAAATTATTTGTGTGCTTTTCTTGCAATATCTCAGCTCTGTATCTGTTGCGGTGTGACGATGAGAAAGCTCACTTTGCAGGTTGAGAATGTCAGAATACAGCGAAGGTATGGCTATGTGCTAACCCCACGTACCCCAAGGTGACGCGTGGCCGCAAGGCCGAGAAGCAGCTGGTAGTCCTTAATTTGTAAAGAACTGTTCTGCCAAAGGACACACATACACATACATACATACATATGACCTGATATAGGATTGTGATTTATCTACTTTCTCTATATCTAGGGACATACAACAGAGTTTTTAACAAAATATTGTCCCTTTCTGCTGCAGAATGTCAATACTTTCTCTCTTATACGCAAGTACGCAGTAGGTAAGAAAGTAAAAATCTATAAATGAATTTGTAGAATCGATTTGTAGCTCTTGGAAAAGAGATTAGCGTGATTTATAAATGCTAAATTTTGGTTTGCGCATATTTCATTCCTGTGCTCCGTATGAAGATAATCATTCCATTTCTACGTTATTCATGATTTTTTGATAATTGCTTTTTAGTAATAACCGCAATGGACTTTTTAAAGGGGAGTTCACAGACGCGTACTGTAAGTCTTGCAAGTCACTTTTATATCACTTAGTTTTTTTGATGTACAAATTTTTAGTCTTTTTTTGCTGATTTTCTAATAATACTTAACACATTTGTGCTTTATTCTTAATGCAAAATTCTAGTAAAGTTTCGCAGTATAAAAGCAAAAACTTTTACGACCACTTGCTTTATCATCTTAAACTCTTGGAAAATGTTATCATTTTGAGGATTTAAAATGTAATCCAATATTGGGAAATGTAGTTAATGTGTGGAAAGCATTGAAGCCGCTCTCGTCAAAGCAAAGAAACGCCATCCCCCGCCATTCGCCAACCAACACAAATTGAACGATGGAAGCGCTCGCAGCGGCGAAACCGAGGAACGCAGCGCGTGCCGCTGCTGCACTGATAACGGGGGCCTGCACCTGGCGGCGACCGCGCGTCACGTGGGCGATAAGGCGCTTTCCCACGACACCACGGCTGCGCTCTTCCGTCAAGTAGCAGATGCCTTCCGACGCCGCCACCGCTGCAGCCACAGCCGCGGAAAGGGGTGGGTTCTGCAGGGGTAGGTTTCGCCGACTCTCCAGCGACGACGAACAGAGGGACCGCAGTAGGTAAAACACAGTCTACCATTTAGGGCGCTTTCCCTCGCCGCCACGGTAGCGGGCGTCCGTCAAGACTCTGGCTACACGAAGCGGAGGGCGTACATGCCACCGCAAGCGGAACACAGCTTTAAACGGTAGGCTTCCACTGCGGCCGTCTGTCGCTGCGTTTTACTTGATTCGGTCCCTTTGTTCGTCGTCGCCGGAGGGTCGGCGAAGAGCCCTGCCGCTTGACGGACACGCGTTGCCGTGACGGCGTGGGAAGGCGCCCTTAAAGCTGTGCTAGCAGTGGTGCATACGCCCTTCTGAGCTTCGCGTAGCGAGAGTCCGCCACCGCTGGCCACAGCGGCGCAAGCTCGCCACACGGGAGAAAACCACCATTTAAACCAACGCTCTGCTACGAGCCGTGGTGTCCGCAATCGCGCAGCGGTGGCGGCGTGTGAAGGGGGCCCTTATTTCGAGCGCTCTTATTTACGGCGAGCGGTATTGGCGGGCGTCGCGACGCACGACGCGGCCGATAGCTTCCGCTCGCCGCGCGTCGCCTCCCTTTGTCGTCCGTCGCGAGCTATTTGCGCCGGGCCACGCGCTATCTCCGGCTCGCGGGGCAGCGGTCGCTTTGTCGTTTGAGCGAGCGAGCTGCCACCGCCCGGTGACCGCCGCGTTGCGCCGAGCCGGCTCGTCGCGCGTGCGGATTGGCTGAAATGCGGAGTTTCGCGCGTTGCGCCCCTTGGGGCGGAGAGCGGCGCGGCTGCGGGAGACCATTCTGCTCTACAGTGCTCTCCGGTGGCTGCTCAGCTGGGTGGATGTCGAAACGTGAATGGAGAAATGTCTCTGGATGATCAGGCGACATTGAGTTCATGGCTTCAAGTAACGCATTGATTGGTAGATGGGGAATACTGAAAAGTGAATTATTACTCTTCAAAGGAATAGGAAATTAAATAAAGTAACTGATCGTATGACGCGCAATTTCTCTCGCGCCTTAAACATCCAATGGTTCCTCGCAGTATTCCCAACGTACGTATATGCAATGCAACAAAAAAACGATAAATCGCGTCCCTAATATAATAAATTACTTTCTTTAACACGTTGTTGTAGTCAGAATCATATGTTGTGAGTCCTTTATACCGAATAGTTGATTGACGATGAAACCTCAGTCTTCCCATCTTTCAGTCTGCCTGTCTGTCTGTGTCAACGTAGCATTCAGCTGATTTTCTCCAAAAATGATATTCGATTCAATCGATCTGAGTGATTTTACGGCTCTTGATTTGAAATCGATATTTTAATTTTGAGAGTATTTTTTATGAAGCACCTGGTACAGTTTTAAAGTTGTTCGAAAAAAACAATCAAATTTTTTATTACATTTTGTTAAATTAATTAAATGACAGTAAGAGCTAAGATGCAGGTCTAATTTTTCGTTCAAGTCCCCTGATATTCAGCAGAGTTCAATTAGTTGTCATCTTCCTATAACTAAAATATTGTAGATTGAGATTTTTTCTAATGAAGATTAGTTTTCTAAAGACAAATTTAGAAAGAAGTCGTGGACAATGTTTTGAAAACGTTGAGCCAGCTTGGAACAATTTTGCGTAATATATCAAATTCTTAATGTTTTTAAATCGCTTTCTTCTCCTCAAAACCAATTTTTTTTGATTAAATGTTGACATTGATGAATTACGTCCAAGGACGCTTAAATGAATGGTGTGTCATTATTTCGATAAAATCCCTAATTTTTTTGAAAATTGCCCACAAAATTCATTTTTTCGGCGGCTTCCTACAGCTACTGGCATGAAGTATTTTTTTCTAAATAAAAATGTTCATCAAAAAAACAAATCTTTCAATGACATTGTGTTCAATTTTGTCGAAAACATAGTAACTTTGCGTGTGGAAACATTAGAAGAAAGTAAAGAAAAGTTGGGGCTGGTCCAATTTTTGGGCATTGTCTGCATTTTCAAAAATTGGAAAAAATATTGAATATAATATGACACGATATGTATATATATAGTTCTAAAATATGACAATTTTCTGTTCTTTCACTTCAGCTACCCAATTGAAAAATTCGTTAAACCCCCCTAACAAAGTGGTAGTAAGTATATATATATATATAATATATATATATAATATAGTTATATATATCAATATATATATATTACACACATTTCAAATAATTAAACGCTTTCTGCCACTCCTGAATTAAAATTATTTATATTCTATTCATGAATGACGAACCAATCCAGATTGCGTATTTAACATAAATAAAATTATAGCTTATAATAACGCAAACAAGCGATGGCCATCTTCTGCGGCCCTTTTTGTTGCCAGTGCGTCGTTGTCTAGCAACAATGGCCACGTTTATTTTGTTATGACGTACACATTTGCCAAATCAGCATTCTTATACCGCTAGCAACCAACAGGCAAACATCAGAAAGGAAGAATAAATATGTTTATTTATACTCATCCAAAAACTTACCTTTTCTTTACCACGAATTACTCATCATTTCGCACCTTAACATTTCAAAGCGAAATGATTTCTTAGCTTTTCACTTTCAACTCAATTTAAATGAGCCAATTCAAAATTAGATTTAAGCTAATTAATATTATAACGTAATCCTTTCTTGTCAGTTAGATTCCCAGCAAA